CGCACTAAGTGACTATGTAATAAGGTGCACAATCGACTTGAGAAATTTGATACAACATTTGAACTGAAGTGTTTGGGACACGTTGACGGTTTTGCTCTTAGAAGAATTATAAACAGCTCTCCCGCGGACAAATTTAATGTATTATCTGATTTTTTAAATGTTTTGGTTTTACTTCTAAGTACTTGTAAATGTCGACATGGTAAATAAGGATTTGCTTTAATTTTGACTACAGCACGTCTTTATAGTTAACAATAATTAAATGAACTGTTAAATAAGTAGGATGTTTAATAAATGTCGAACTTTAATGGAAAATTTGTAACGTCCTAATGATTTAAGAAATGCCCCTTAAATGAGTCAATAACTAAATTAATATAATCGTTTCTTATTTGATATTTTATGTGTCTAAGGGAAAATGAGGTTTGTTGTATGAATGAAATTTGTTGTATGCGTAAAAGTCGTTAGGAAGGAGGGATCATCTATGACGATGACGATGTAACTTTATTTACTTTAGCGTTTGGACGTCTCCAGTTCACTTGGCTCGTTCCAGTAAAACTTAAGCATAAAAGGGGGCGGAGACTCTTTTTTAATGACAGGGGGTCATATTATTTTGTTTTGCAAATATCATATTTTGGTTAATCCAAATTGATGTTTATGACAAACGGAATAAGGATAATTTTACATTGTCATTGAATTACTCCGTCCTTCTGCACTCACGAAGTCGGTGACACGCGAACAAATGTATATTTTTGTTATGTATTCATATTTTTCTCTACCTTCTATGTGTATATTGAAAATTTTTGATATTAATTTATCATTGTAAAGTTTTACTGTAAGGTTCGGACCGTATAATAAGTGCAAAAGTGCGGTAGTTACGAGTTTGTAAGGATTATTTTATAACAGCACTAGTTGCCGATATGTATAGACATTGATGAAACTACGCTCGTTGGTAGTGAAAAAGCAACAAGTGCTTGAAAGATTCGTCAGTCCTGATCGTGGGTTCGAGTCCCATCGCAGAGTACCTGGCGAATTTTATAAGCATTTTTCATTAAGAGTATTTTTCAGTATAACATTGTGTATTCAAAATTGATCAAAATATAATGTATAAATGTTTTCGCATTAATTATTCTTTAGTCTATCCCCAAAAACTATACTATAATGGAATCGTCATATATAATTAATTATACATGCATTACATAATACGCTGTACGGTTGCTTTCTGTATAGTGTAAGAAAGTAGGAATGTCGGTTTGTTTTCGAATTTATTAACTATTTATTTATAATTTTTTTAAAAGTTGTACTAAAATTGTATTATCGCTTTTTGTGAATGAAAATATGAGAGTAGCGAATATATTTCAATTTGGTTTTTAATGAAATTAAAAAGTTGTGAATTGGAGAATAATATGAACCGAGCAATAAAGTATGGAAACGAATTTTATGTCTTCTCTCTTACTGCATAATTGTATCGTACGAGTATGTACTTGCGTTCTGTAAAGCTACGCTTCGTAATATAGCGGTACCGTCATAAAGTGGACGTTATATTCTATATATATATATAAAATAAAGATTACGCAGATTTGAAGATGATGCTTTATCTGAGATCACGGTTTTTCAGGCGGCTCAAATTAAATAATAATTTATTTATTAAAATACATTCAAGATTTATACTAAATTCACTATGTGACGGCACCGCTGCGTTAGGAAACATTAGTTTAAACAGAGGCGTTGTATTTGTGTATAATAAATTGTGTGTCGTGACAAGTGTTTTAGGGAATCGCACAAAATAAATAATAATAATAATAAATATTTAACAACACCACATACATTGCTCAGATTCCAAGATGAGTAGCTAAAGCCCCCGTATTATGGAATATCTGAGACAACGAAGGTACCACAACACCCAGACCCGAGTCAATATAGAAAAGTTTATTTTCTACATTGACCCAACCGGGAATCGAACCCGGGACCTCAGAGATGGCGACACCTTGAAACCGGCGTGCGAACCACTCAAATTACCGAGATACAATTTCGAAGCCATAATTTGTACATTGCCAGTGTAGAAAAAAAAAACTTCCATTTTATAATTAGGATGTGTAAGTATCGGTGAATTTTGATGTGTTACCTTTACATTTTACTTTTATATTAGACCATATAAATGAATTGAAAATGATAGGGACGCCGTATTATTTTTGCTACGACATTTGTTTATGGATTTTGTAATGACACGTTAATAGTGTGATGATGACTTCATAGTCCGCTTGTATATTTTATTTCTGATCACAATAAAATTATTTCAAATCTGTCTTAAATGTTTTCGATATTTATATAGACCTATTCTATCAAGTTTATATTTGCAATCGATGAAAAGTAAATTTGAGAGAAATTCTAAAAAGTGACCCAGCATAATTAATTTACCGTACTAAAGTTTATAATATACCACCAGAATAGGGATGACGACTAATTTTTATTTGTTTGTCCGTCAGCTAGTGTGTTGAAAAATATTAAACACGTATTTTTTTATTATTTTCGTAATCATAAAATTACGGCGATACATGGAGTTGAAATTTCGCATGACGTCACGTTATGGTACGTTTTCTACAAAACTATGACGTAGCGAGCCCCCACTCCTCAACTTTAATGCCTATTATCTAAGCTATTTCTCGTTAAATTGAAGTAAAAAAAAATACGTATCTAATATTTTTCTATTATCTGACTGACGGACTAAATAGAATTGCATTTTTTTTACCAAGTCGTCACCCCTATTATCTACAGTCAACAGCACTTCAGGTTATATAAATCTGTCAATACATTCGCACATTTCGCACACTCCTCTCGAATTGAGCGACTTGATTTGACATTTGAGTCATTGCTAATATCGTTCCAGAGGTCATCAAAACATCTTTTGGGCGATTTGTAAGCGAAAATAATAGTATATGATGATTTATAGTATGATCAAGGGGTTAGGAGCTTGTTCAGCTTTAGCTCTATTTAGACGAGGGAATTTTAGTCACCAAAAACTCTAAAGACTTCTTTCTATTTTCAATTTAGATAAGAGAGAGAGAGAGAGAGAGGTCAATAACATTTCGAAAGAGTAGTTTACCATTCGCGTTGACCGTTAAGTGTATTCAAGTACTTACGGAGCTTGACTTTCGTTGTAGCAATGTTTATATATATATTACGATTATATTTTTTACAGTTCATAGATGGCGCTACGTTTGGAATTGCTGTGTTTATCAGCAAAGTTACTTGCCATTCATTGAGTTAAAACAGTTAAACAAAATCACCTTAGAATATTACACGCGGACAACACAGAATATTTTTTTCAATCACTTTTTCTATTAGATGTTGCGAGAAAATATTCGTTTTTATTCGATTGTATCCTAATTTAAAATTGTATTTTTTTTTTCCTAAACATCCTAACCGCAAGGAACTTCAGAGTGCATATTTCTATCAGTGTCTCGTGTTCGAATTGAATCCCAGAATAGGCAGGGTAATTTCATAATTGTCAAACAAGTATTGTTAATTAATGTTACCAAAATTTTAATGGGTCATAAAAACTAGAGTCGCTAAGAATCATAGTATTATTTTTGTTGCCGTTTTATATTAAAGTACGTTGATATTGTGCGGTGTGCGAAGAAGTTAGTATGGGTCGTTACTATGTTTATATATGTGCACATAATTGCAGTTGTTTTGAATATGTAACTAACTGAAAACCATTGCTAGATGTTGACTTGTTAAATTAATTCCAAAGACACTCCTACGACGGATTGATTCGCCGACAACATTATATTTTAAGCATTTAAGAATGTACTTGTCACCGAATTTTTGTATGAATTTATATGATATAATGATATAGTATAATAGTGGTTCATACCTGTATCATACTCATTTGATGCATTTTCGACTAAGTGTATTAAGGTATAATTTGTAAACTTGTACGCGTCGGGTACAATGTACACGGCCTTAGTTATAGCTTTATAGTGAATTGTAACTTAGCTTTCTTGATACTGTTAGTCGTTATTGCAGTATTTTGGTGCAAATATTATTATTTAATAAGCGTATTCATAAAAATAAATTGACTCTGATATAGACTAGTTTGTTTTATTTTACACATTTCATATATCGACTTTTTTTAAACGCAAAAGAAACACCTCTAGGTCTAAAGGGCAGCTCCAGAAAACATTAAGGGTTTGTTTCACTTACTGTTAAAGTTTCAGATAGTTATCCAACATATAACGCTATCCGCTGACAATTAAATAACTGATAGTATCCGTCAGATAATTCTATCTTAGACTTGTGAAAACAAAATTTGCAATTTATATGGCAGATAAGTCTCTGATCATCGGAGACTATCAACAAATGGTGAAACTGGTCCTTATTATTTAGGCATTATGTCACGTCATAACCATAAGATTCATTATAAAGGTCACAATTTACAATAATGTTCCTATCTTTCCAAAGACGGCGCCCCTTCATTCTTCCTCCTCTGTTTTTCTTCTTCTTCCTTATCTCACTTTACACCTTTCTTCTACTCCTCCCTCGATTTGGTGTATCATCGTGTAGGCGTGACTTCGCTACCTCCGCGAAATAACCTTATTTTCTATTTTAATTCAAATCTTTTATCGATTTAAATGAGCGTTGCATACTGCTTTGTTTCTCTATTATTTAACACGGTTTTTTGCTTATTTTGAAGGATTTTTCAACGTAGAAAATATTACCGAGAAGTGTGGAGATTCGTCTTTAATAGCAATTTCCTTGGGCAATTTTTCTCTATAAAAATGTCCGCAGACTGAAGTCACTAGTCTGCTACAGTTACTTAACTTCTATATACTTTATCTATAAGAGACTACCCACCCTCGAATGATAACAATAAATATTAATCACAAACATTAAGTAAATAGTGATTTTCAATTCTTTAATGAAATAATTGTGCATTAATTATCTTCTCTCGGCGTAAATGGCTCAAATGATGTGACTTTTAATAAAGAAAAACCCATTATTTTCAACAAAATTTAATATCAATAATAAATAACATCAGTCGAACACAAATCAATATATTTTACTTACAACATAAATGCACCATATATAAACTAACAACTACGAAAGATCAAAGGAACCAGTGTTTTCAACAAATCGAGGTAATTTATGATGAGGCATGCGTGGTAATATCCAACTTTATAAAATACATAAAAATGTAGGACGTAGCTAGTATTTAAGGCGCAATAGATAGATACGATGGCGTATTATATTGAGCACTAGCTGACCCGACAGACTTCGTCCTGTCAAAAAGATTTGTAATGTGGCAGTTTTTTTGCCTACGTATTTAAAAAAATTCTCCTGAACAGAACCGTCACCCTGGTGATAGGGCGTTGTGAATAAAAAATAATTAAATAAAACATATATAAGGATTTAAAAGTAAGTAATCGCTTTATTGTTAATCATGTGAATCATAATTATTATTGCAATGTATTAATAGTAATAGTATTAAATATAGAAAAAAGAGATTTTTATGATCATAAAAACACATTACACACAACAGCATTATAAAAGTAATTCGAATTAAAAAAATATATAAACATTCTCAAGGAAAAATGCTGGAAGACTCCATCTACCTGTACCCCGGAATGGGACTCGAACCCATTCGCGATCCAGGGACTGCTCTAACCAATGAGCTATCTAGGACCCAACAGCTTTGCTACTACAGAGCGTATTTTCATCAATGTTCCGGCAATACATGTAATGACGTGGAAACTGATGCATTTTATCTCGCGTGCCGAAACTAATACAAAAGAAACGCGAGTTTCGGAACGCGACATTAAACTCCTCCAACTATGTATTCTGTGCTCCAACGCACACACGCACATTGTTTTGTGATAGATATGATCTTTGACGTTAGGAACACACCTACATTGCTTAGACAACAGTGAGTGCTTGTAATTTAATATGAACTTTATACCATAGCAATAAAGCTCAAATTGACTACGTTTTAGTTACAAATCATCTGTATGGGAAAAAGAAAAGGGCTATTTTTAGGGTTTTTCCAGCAATAATTCTAATTTTTCTCGCCGTAAAAACCATCCTTGAACTTCAACGAACATTTTAAAAAAAGATTTGGCCAAATTGGTCGAGGCGTTGTTGAGTTATGCGCTTACCAACACATTTTGCGATTCATTTTTATATATAAGATTAATAACTATTCTCAATTAATTACTCTTAAACCATTACGATTGTTGCAAAAGTTCGTCGTTAAGTTCTCGACAGTAGAGATCCGCATATTTATCCCAAGAATAAAAAAGAAAAGTAGATTTTAGGAGTAACTTTGTACGATTCACGTTTGATTGTGCACACTTTGAAATATGATGCCACTCACTCTACACATTAAGGAAATATATGAATACGATTATTTTTTTTTAATCGTGGCATATTATTATTATGTAATACAATGAACATTACATAATTGCTACCTGTCTCTTTCTAGTTATAGTGAAGAACAAGAGATAGCTTATTTGATGTATGGCTCAAAATTAAAATCAAACTGTGAAAAAACCTTACAAATCGAATAAAACGCGTCAAAGTATCGGTAGAGTACAAAAGAGTAGCTTAATTACATGCCCTTTAGAAAGTATCTAAGAATAATTGTTATTATGAGTTCAGGGAAGCATAATATACAGTAGTAGTAGTGTGTTTGGTTATTTACATTATTATTAATTAATTATACACACAACATTACAAAGGTATGTAATACAATTCTTTATTGCGTATACAGGTTGTAAATATACCCGTGAAGCCTGAATTGATTATTACACAAAACTATATATTTTTGTATTCACTTTTATAAAAATACTTTATAAATCGACTCATGATCAGGTACCGCTGACTGCTACCCTCAACCAGCTAAGTTCAGATTATTCTGAAACGCTTTACTGATTTTTGTTTAATTTCGATTGTCTATAACCGATGTAAGTTCATGCTTAAAATATAAAATATAATAGTTAGTTACTTTAAAACTCTACTTCCTTTTCGAGGTCAAATCGAGTCAGAATTTTGGATTAAATATTGTATTCCACATTAGTGCTATACGCTAGCCTTTTTCTTTTGATCTTTCTTATCGACATAAACTCTCTGAAACAGCACAAACTTTCCGCTCTGTATATATTTTGTTTCATAAATAGCGCCCTCTATCGTCCAAGAAGGTTTCTCGCAGTGTTGCCAATTTCTATTATCTTTAGGTATTTGCAGTTTATCTAGTAATTTCTCCGCCATATCTGGTATAATAGGCTGTAATATGATCGCGCTGATCCTGAGCGTTTCCATGGTGATATGTAATATAACGTCCAGATGTTTCTGGTACTCGAGTTTCTTTTTTAGCTCCCAAGGTTTGTGAGTTTCAAAGAACAGGTTCGCTAGATGTAAAGTGTTCATGACCGCGTCCACCGCTTTATAAAACTGGTAATTGCTGTAGTGTTGATGGCAGATATCTGTACCAGGGATGATAAAATTGAATATTAGTTTGTTTAACCCTTAACTGGTGACAAGCGGTCTCACAGGCCGAGCGTTGTTAGTGATACTTCATTTCACCCCGTTCCCCGCGCTTCCTGTGTTTGTGCGCCTAAAGTAGCTTCAAGTTTAGTTGCGTCTACGCCGTGGAGTGAGAAAACTGTGTTGCACCGGCTCATATCGGTAAGTTACATCGATACAAAGTTTCGAAGCGGCCTCTCAGGCCTTATGTCACCAATTACGTAACTTTTTAACGTTAATTTGGTATATTGTTTTTTTCGTTTTTCACAGTTATTTATTGCTATTGATAGTTTAGAACCTCCAAAAAAGAAGCGTAAGGAGTCTGAGGACTTAACTAGTCGTCAAATTGAAGACTTTCTGGCTGAGGAAGACTCGAGCGGATCGGAAGCCGAAGATATTCCTGGAAATTTCGTCCCGGAGGAAAGTGATCACAACTCGAATTCTGAAGAAAGTGCCTCTAAAGACGATGAGCAGGCTACACGTCACACCACTATCCAGAACTCAATCACTTTCTGAAACATGAAATGGCGTATGAGGTTTCAGAAAGTGATACTGATGATGTATCATTGCCCATGGTGATATTTTTCCGAATATTGGATGTAAGTACAGTAAATGCACATATTTTATACCAAGCTGATGGTGCCCATTCTATTGATAGAGGACAATTCATTAAGACATTAGCCAGAAAAGCGATTTTACTGCACATGCAACGCAGAGTTTATAATACTCATATTTCACGTGATGTACGGATTAACTTGGTGCGTATTTTAGGGTCTGATTTGCCACCTGAACCACAAACCTCCAAAAATAGACCAAAAACAAGGAAAACCTGTTTTAGTTGTCCTCCCAAGTTAAATCGTAAATCGAATTATCAGTGTATGTCATGTAAAAAGCATGTGTGCTTGCAATGTGCGAAGAAATTGTGCCCAGACTGTCAATAAAAATAACCAAAGTTTACCCATTGTCATTTTAGTGAAATGGTACTCACAATTACTTAATTTTTTTTTTAAGGTTTGATATTATGTTAATTTTAAGAAAACTATTGTTTTGGTTACATTTCTTTTATTTTTATTAGATTTTATGAGTAATTGTTGACCTCACCTCAAATTTTCAGTTAAAGAGACTACCTAAATTGTGATTAAAGTTTATTATAATTAAAATACATAAATTGTTTATATCGTCGTTTTATTTTATTCTTTAATATGTCTTTTATCTATTTCTAAACACTAAGGCAATATATCCTACTTAATAACTAAATTATAAAGCATAAAACGGCAGCGGCTTCTCAGACCGCTCGTCACCAGTCACGTTACAAAAAAACCATGTCACCAGTTAAGGGTTAATGTTTGTTACTACACCATAAGGTATTTCGTGCACCATTTTATTGTTGATTGTTGTGTATAAAAGTATGCAACGACTTCTGTACAAATCCAAATCCGAATGCGAATTCACTCGGGTGTCCGAATTTATTTCAAAAGCGGCATCCGCTCAATCTTGAATTCGTAAGAACGTTCGTGGAATAAGTGAAGTGAGTTTCTAAATAATATAGTGATAGAATATGTGAGACACGTTTAGTTAAACAATTTTTGTTTTGTATTTTTATACAAAAATGGAATCAATAGAATTTCTTCACTAAATGACTAAATTACGGGGTCCGATTTTTACAGAATCGCCGTGCAGTTTTCAATGGGATTATGACTAATTTTTGTTTGTTTGTCCGTCAGGTAGAGTGTTAAAAAATATTAAACAATTATTTTTTTATTTTTTTTCGTAATCATAAAATTACGGCGTTACATTGAGTTGAAATTTCGCATGACGTCACGTTATGGTACGTTTTCTACTCAACTGTGACGTAGCGAGCCCCCACTCCTCAACTTTAATGCCGGTTATCTATACTATTTCTTGTTAAATTGAAGTAAAAAAGATACGTATCTAATATTTTTCTATTATCTGACTGACGGACTAAATATGACGGAATTGCATTTTTTTTACCCAGTCATTATCCCTATTACATCGTATACGGAGAACGGGCAATGGCCCATCACGCGGGCCATATGCAGCCGGGACCGACGGCTTAACTCGTCGAGATACGACCGCCTATAGCGAAGGAGCCTCACCCGGCAGCCGCTCGACGCTGTCGCGCAGACGGGCGGTGACGTCATCGCGGCCGCAGAGCGCTAGCTCGCGCGCGTGCAGCGGCGGGAACTCCCCGCGCGGGTTGAGCGCGGCGCCGCAGCAGCGACTGGCGAGGTTGCCGAGCGTGTCCGCCAGCTCCGAGTTGGACACGTTTATCAGTTTCGTCTCGCTGTAGTCTGCGTGCAGTGCGAGATCGCGACGATGGTTAGTGCACGGTTTACGTCGCCGACGGATATTCCATATCGCACACCTAGATCTTAACTAAGACAACCCAAAAAACTAATGTGGAGGTCTGTCAATACATTTGTTTACGTGGCAGGAGCTTTGATTCAACAAAAGAAAACTAAAGTTATCTAGCGGACTCATTCCCGAACCTATATTGAATCTGTTATGTTGGATAGATGCGTATGATCACCGACTATTTGAATATTGTACTAAGTCAAAACTCACTCAAATTTTTGAGTTGTCTCAGTTTAGATCTAGGTGTGCGATATATACGTGTAACAGAAATAACGCATTAGAAAATGCGTTTATAATCATAGTACGAAAATTGGAATTTTACTTTTATGTACTAAAACATTGTTTATGTATGCACACAGTTGTACTAATGAGGAAGTATTTAAAAAAAAGCATTAGTTCCCGAAATCGAAACTAGATGTCGTTACGGTACGTTCTTGATTTCTCCATGACAATCATTCCGTTTTTTTTTTCAAGTGTAAAAGTAAATCAGTTTTCAAAACTCAATTAACAACTCGTATTCTATTTGTACTTTTTTCGTATTTGTATTGATATCTAATTTTCGAACTTTTCAAATTTCAGTTTTTTAATATGTTAGTTAAAAGGAACGGAAATTACTGTCTTTGGTCGATTCGTTTCCAGCAAAAATCTAGTTTTGCTAAAGTCGCCGTCTAGTGGAGGTACTTTTTTAGTGCTTTCGTTTTTTTTTAAATACTTCCTCATTGCGAAGAATAGGTATATTGCATTTTAAAAAACCTTATTACATTCACTTAAGTTTATCTTTTGTTTGTGACGGCTGTATTGGTTACAGGTAACCTTAATGTACTGATTTCCAATTAAATTTAACAAAAAAAAAATACCTGCCTTTATTTGAAATTGTTGAAATTGAATCGGTATCTGATTTTAAACAAACTTAGTTCAGGATGTGCATTAATTATGTTACACGTTGTATACAGGGTTATTTTTAAAACGAGCAGCGATTATAAACGACAACATTTGACATTCAAGTTTTAACTGAATATTTTGGTCGAAAACTGTTTTTAAAGTTTTTTCATTGTGTCACGACAGCTCACTTGGAAGTCTAAGAAGTTTTTTGAAACGGACGGAGCACGTTGCGTTCGCGCAACCTATGTATGTATCAAGTATTGCGCGTAGTTATTAATATTATTTTTATATGCAAGTAACGAATAGAGATGCGCCGAATATTCGTTTAATATTCAGAGTATTATTCCGTTTTAGTGTCGAAAATATTCGCTTCGAATACTTATATTTTCTTGGTTACACAACACGATATGGAACTAAAAGAAAACTTTTTTTTGTAAGATTATGTTATATTAAGAAATCCTATATATTAATTTAAAGAACTATAAGCCAACATTTTAAAAGTTTAAATCGATATTTTCGATTTTTAATGAATAGTTTTAAGAGACAAATTGTCAAAAATAGACATATAGATATGGAGACAGAGAGACACAGTAAAAATATAATAGAGATCAGAAATAAAATAAAAGTTAAGCAAAAATAAACACATAATATGCTAATATTTAATGGTAAATTATGATACGGAAACACCAAGCATAGTTCTTCATATACGTTGCTTGTTTCCGAAATAATCGTTCGCTAAGCATCGAGAAACACGTAGGCTACAATGAAATGGTAAACCGAATATCCGGTTCGGTTGAGCTTAAGCCGAATATTATTCGGTATCGGGCGCATCTCTAGTTTATAATGTGTAGTGTGCACTGACTGGCGTCGGCGGCCATGGTGGCCTCCCTCAGCAGCAGGTAGCGCAGCGCGGGCGGCGCGAGACGCACGTGGCGGGGCCGCACCACGTTGCCGCGCGACTTGGACATCTTGGCCGCGGCCACGGTCCAGTGCGCGTGGCACACCAGCCGCCGCGGCGGGGGCCAGCTGGCCGCCATCAGGAACGCCGGCCAGTATATGCCGTGGAATCTGATACGACCTCACCCAAGTCAATACTGACAGTGGACGAATATGCGCCTCCCTCTCGAGCGTCTGGACTATATTTTACCGAACGGTGCTGCTGTACCTTTCGGTTCAGAATGTTCGATTCCCAAAATATGCTACGGTTCTGAAATTCCGATTCCCAAATGATACTAGATCGGATCTAGTATCATGATGGGTTCGTTGAACACGCAGCGAGGTTGTTAATGTTAAATATTTTTAAGACAGACTATGAGAACTTATTCGACTAGTTTGCTACGAATTATTCACCGGTGTGTTCGAAGATCATAGATTGGGCTTTTCGGAAATTCGAAATCCTGAACTAAGAGGTGCCTGCTCCTCGATAAAAACATAAAACGACAACACTTCGGCTTCCTTAAAAAAGATTAATGGGCAAAATAATGATTTTTATATACAGTTAACATCGGATTTGCTTTGTGACTTAGGGACAGTCGCTCACTTGAGAATATCCTTGCCTATGACGTGTACGTCGGCCGGCCAGGGCCTCCCGCGCGCTATCATGGCGTCCTCGTCGGGGTAACCTATCGCTGTGAGATAATTCACCAGCGCGTCCAGCCACACGTACACGCTCTGATCGGGATCACCTGGCACCTAACGATAAGATTATACAAATTTAAGGTCAGAGAATTGTCGGGTGCTGCAGTTGCAAGCGAAATACGGGAGCTATCTCTTACCGGTATAGCCCAGTGCACCCTGGAGGATGGTCGACTCACTGATATGTCCGGAATGTACACCTCGTTCTGGAGCCACTCCTGCAGTTGCTTCTGATATTTTTGAGGAGTAATAACACCATCTAAAACAATATGATAATTTTCATTATCCGCCGCCTTTAGTCTCCACTGCTCAGGCACAGAACTTATGAATGGAAGCAAATAGGCAGAATGGGCCCTAGCTCTCGAGATCCCAGTGCAGCGAGTTTGTCGGCGTTAACTGCAGACGTAACTGGATTAAACGTGCCTTCTGAAGTATGAAGGACCTGGAGAAGATAAACTTTTGGTCACCAATCCTATGGTCAGGCCTTACAATAGTTGCTCCGTATCACAGTCATATAGACCCCGCCGCTTCTGTCTATCTGTTCGCGATAAACTCGAAAAGCACTGGACGGATTTTCATGCAGTTTTCAACAATAGATAGAGCAATTCTTGAGGAAGGTTTTAGTGTATTGTAAGTTTAGGTTTTGTACAAACTGACGATATTACAATGATATTAGTTCAATATGTCGGAATAAATAAAGCCCATCGGAAGCTTTCCTCGAAATCGCTACTAAAAGCTTTTCAGTTATAACAAAACAATGTATGGTGGAAATGTACCTCTTTAATAGATGTACAAAAAAGTCCGCGGTGGTATATGTTCATCTTCCAAGGATAACCCACAATAATCTTTTTTTTGCCTTCACTTAAAACATTAAAATGATGGGTTATTTACGACCCTTTTTTAAACAGTACAGTATTAATTTTTTATTTAAATAAATAAGTTAGATACATTATGCATATAATGTAGATCAAAATTGCATTAATAACTAATGAGTTATCGAAAAATAAAAATCTCTAAGCGAGAAATTAAATATCGATGAAGCGCAGTGAATATGTACGTTCACATACGTGCCTACCCGCCTTCTGTCGTCCTTGAATGCTATATAAGGCGAGCGATATTGCGCGCGATTTGACCATCCGATCTGGCTGATCGTTCCCCTTAAGGGAGTCAGCTGTAATTCCAACCCTATGAGCAGTTGGGGTAAACGATTCCGAAGGTTCGTTGTCCTTTCAGGGCACGTAACCAACCGTCTAAGGCGGTGTTTAATCAGTAGGAGTCTGATATAACGTCACAGCTGGCTGTGTGGTATCCAATGAAGGATTCACCGCCTCTTTCCCCCTTTGGGAAGGTGGTACCGAACCCCTAAGGTTGAGAGCCGAAAAAAAAGCGCGCGATTTCCTATAATAACACAGACGTGGTTGAAAATAGTTTTTATGGTGATTTTGTCCAGATAAGTAATTTAGTTTAACAATTACATATTTGAATTGGTTTTTACATTTTTGTAAATTTTCTTTTACGATTTTTAAGTTTAAAAATTTTAATGTGTTTTGTAAATATAAGTAACTAGTTACTCCACGCGGTTTCCCTCGCTTATGTCCCGATCCCGTGGAAATTTACCTATCTTTTATCAGGCCCGGATATACAACTTTTTCCAACAGGGGGAAGAAACATGATTTTGCCCCTATTCCCCCAGCGACGCGACGCACATTATTTTTTATTATAATTAAGGCTATGCGTATAAATTTCTTTTCTTTTTATCTGTATTATATTACCATAATTTACCGAATTCCAGTTCCGACTGCATCGAATTAGATGATTCATGACACGGTTTGTATATAAGATTTTAAAAAATTGATTGTCGGGTCAGCTAGTAAAAACTATAAAGCAATGTATCTTCCAGGCAATAAGTAGAGAAAGTGACTGTTAGATCATTCACCTGTTTTCAGCCACTCCAACAGATGTGTTTTGAATGCACTCAGTCTGAACATATAGTTTGTTTCCTCTGTCCAATCGACCCTGTGACCTGATTCCACTGACACTCTGACCTGTGATTTATAAGCCTTAGGACTTTAGTTTAATTTACAAAATATTGCATATTCTTAATGAAAAATGCTTACAACCACCACTTTGCCTCTGGCACTCTGAGATGGGACTCAAACTCATGTCAAACAATTAAAGTCCAGGGGCAAAGTCGATTTTTTTTTTATTATTGTTCATTAAGAAAATTTCTCAGTATAGCATTGTGAATTTGAAATTATCAAATCTAATTTGAAAAAAAAGCATTTTGTGCCATTATATTGCATTCAGTGTAGATTTGACAACATTGCTAAGTAGAGACTGTTGTATGTAGTACATCACTACTATACAGTGTTGATATGAATGTCAAATTGCCTTTTCACTGGTAGTTTATTACCAACTGAAATTGATGTCAAATATATTTTACCAAAAACAATGTTTAACCAACAGAATGAGTGACTGAAAATGGAATCCTCATATATTTTATGTACAAAAGATTATCTTATGTAAAACTTTTGCAAAAAATATAAACATATTTATAAGGAATGCCTGATAATGTCACTAACCTTTTCCCCATCAATAATTTCATCTTTTGTGTGTGTCTCTGGTACAAACGACTCATCATTAACACTGTACCAGCCGGAGTAATTTGCTTTATATATGTAGTCTTTTTTCATTAACTTTTTCTAAAACACAAATTATATTAAGATAGAGGATTCCCTTGCATTAAAACCAGTACCATATATACTAGTAGTAGCTCGATGGCGTAGCCGCGGCCCGCGATCGTAGTCGTTAAGCAACTTTCGCAAGGTTCGGTCACGGGATGGGTTACCAAAATATTATTATCTCGAGCTACTCCATGCTTCAGAAGGCATGTTAAGCCGTTGGTCCCGGCTGCATTTGCAGTCGTTAATACCTTCCAATCTGCATTGGACCAGTGTGGAGGGTCATGGCCTATCCTCCTCCTTAACCATCCATAAGGAAGGCCTGAGCCCCTGCAGTGGGGATGTAAAAGGGCTGTTGGTGATATACCAGCCATATATTTTGGTGCTACTTCATGCTATGTAGTATTTTAGTATACTCTATTTAGCTTGGTGAGAATATTTTTTAGATATTAATGATACATACATATATAATATTGCAGGGATGGGGTAATGATTGTAGCTGCATAAAATTTAGTTATTAAGTTTACCACAAATGTAGTTTTACCCAAAAGTGCTGTACAGCAATTTTGTGTTTCTCATCGGTGGTGCGTATGAAGTCTGTAAAATCGACATTAAAATCTTTGAACAAGTCGCGGTATTCTTGTGATAAATTCGTACAGTAATCTGGCAAAGGAAGGTTATTTTTGGCTGCAGCCTGTTGGATTTTAGTGCCATGTTCATCTGTGCCTGCAACAAAAATCATGTTATAACCTGGGTGTCTGAGATGGTATATATTTTAATACAATTTTTATTTATTTAATCAAACAGTTTACATGAATAAAATGAAATACCTGTACTAAATATAATATTGCAATCAGGATTTGTTAGTTTTTCGAATCTCTGGATAGCATCTGCTACGACAGCTGAGTAGAGATGACCTATATGTGGTGCTGAAATTATAAGAAAACTGAAATTTTTATACTATAATTTATCGTATAATTTTTTGGAAATATACTTCAGAAATAGAATTGGAGCCAGTTAGATTTGTTTACTTATTTTATGATCATAGTTTATTTATTTTCATTGACAATTATTTTGTTATTGCATATTGGTATTTCAGTAAATAACAGTTACATTAGTTCAGAGTCAGTAAGTATTTACAATTTTAACAGTATACAAGCCGATGGTTGGAGTAAGAAGACAAGATAAAGAATGTAAACAAACTAATCGCACGATCTTGTAATGAAAGTTGTGATGGATATTTACCAGCATTAACATAGAAAATCGGTGTAGTAATATAGAATGGTCTCCTTTGTACTACAGATGAAAGTAAAGGTATATTAAGTCTCATCTTGTGCAACTAAATTTCAAATATTAAACTTTAACAGGTTATGTTTTGAACAATTTTAAATGAATGTCGAGACCACAGGTGTTGAACATAGATATATATTGTAATCAAATATTTGAGTTTTACCAAGAGATACCGACTAAACAGGTTACACTTGAAAAATAAAACGATACGAACAACGACTTTTTTTTATCAAAGATTATATTTCTTCATTTTTTTTATTGAAGAATTGTCTTAGTGATAAAATGATATCAGTAAATAGAAGTTTTTTTTTATAGATATTTAGAATAGCGATGGGCGATTATTAGGTACTTAAAAAAATCGAATTAGTCGATTGTTCTGCTTAGTCGATAAAAGTCGATTACAATTGATATTATTGGATTGTTGTTAACAACTTAACCTTGCGGCGGCAGCGGGTGGCTATGACACGCTGCGGTTACCGTAGTAACTCATTCGATTAATTTCTAGCGCAGTGCCATATTACTATACCCGTGCGTACTACTGATGGTGCGGTGCGGTGCGGCGTGCGCTGCGCTCAACTGCAGTTATTATGTGATTGGTGCTAATATGTTTTTTAGTTGTCTATATTTAGTAGTCAATCCACTGATTTGAGGGCATATCCATTCGATTGTCGCAATATTGTTGTTACTTATCTACACTATCGAGCGACGAATAATGTTCAAATATTATACTAACAAACCTTGAAATGTACCATCGCGAACCTACTGCATCTTTTTCTTCGTACCGAAAGGGTAAAAACGGGACATTATTACTGAGACTTTGCTGTCCGTTCGACCATCCATCCGTCTGTCTGTCTGTCGCCAGGCTGTATTTCATGACGGTTCATGAACCGTGATAACAAGACAGTTGAAATTTTCACAGATGTATTACTGTTGCCGCTACAATAAAAACATTTAATGGGGCTCCCATACAACAAACGTGTTTTTTCGCTTCTTTTTTTTCCACTCGCTTTTGGTACGGAACATTTCGTGCACGAGTCCAACTCGCACTTGGCCGGTTTTTTGTATTATGTTATTTCTCTTTCTTGTTATAAATAATAATATAAATACCAACTAATTACTAATAAAGTAAGTTAAAAATCAACGCAACACCTAAACACTCTGCGCAGTTAACCGACCGCACGCGCAAAGCACAGAATGATTACATAGTCTGCGTGCAGTTAGTAGTTAAGACGACTGGTTTTCCAATAATCATGGCAGGGAACTACTTAATCGACAATCGAATGCGCAGTACCACAATTTTTGATTCAGTCGATCGTTTTTTTGCAACAATCACCCATCGCTAATTTAGAACTGAGTAACAAGTAGTAATGGAAGTAAGTATTTCTATCGATAGTTGGTCAGTCATTCACTGACGAGAGTTAAAACTCGTTTGCATTAGACTGTTTACTCTGTGGTAAGGTGCCTAAAGTTTGTCTCATAAAAAAGTCCCAAAATCGCGGCGTCCCGGTCGTATGACGAAGCATTGCTAACCCCTAAAATTTTTTATTTAGTTAGAAATCTATCCATAGAGGGCATTGCAAAAACAATGTAATAATTATACTGTACAGTGCCTGCAGTGGATAAATTTCTAACTACTTAAAATTAGTAGGGGTACTCTGTTAACGGTGTAAACAGAATATTGTTATTGACTATCAATAGTAACAAATCTTCTATAAAAATGACGACGAGGGTTAGATTAGATCCATTTTAAAACAATTCGATACGTGTAGGTATCAATACTTTCCTTTGATACCAAGTAAAAAATACCAGAAATAGAGTCGAAAAGTATTATTTTGACATTCAGAAAAGTATCCCCAATACTCCCTGATTAATTAAGGAGAATTTTTATGTAAAAGAAAAAAAATATTTCAATTATTTGTCGCCTGAAAATTGGACATGTGTATTCCCCAGTTCGACTCGCCAAATTCAAAATTAAATACAAACTAAGGAAGGAACTACGGATCATATTTTGTTTAATTGTCTTAATTTATCCATCTCCCTTTATGATTTTCTCCCATCAAAAGTATCTTGAGTATGGAGAAACCCAGCCCATACAAAATTTTATCTAAATTCCTAGCAATCAATAAGTCTTAATTTATAAATATCTTTGTTTTATATATAAATTCTATTTGTATTATCTTTAACAATGTAATTAGATAGAAGCGCTCAGAGCATTTTTTTATTGTTTTATCTATTACCCCATGTTTAAAATTATCATAGGTATTTTATTATTGTTTCTTTACGTGTCAAGACCACAAACGTGACATTGGCGGAATTGTGTAAACGCAAATAGGCCATGAATTAAAAAAGAAGAAAAAGAAGTGTCAGAATTACGTTTCTCATTGATTTTCCATTGGATTGTATTTTGCTAAGAACTAAGAAAAAAAAAACATACTTTACACATAAAATAGTGTTATAAAATACCATTATAATTAACTACGACAGTTCATTGTAATCATAGAAATGTGCTATTACTTTATATGTATGCGAATGTTGATTAATTTGCGTGATCGTAGCTTCTATGTGCTATAAAATATTTCATAACAATAAAATAATAACAACCCGGAAATTAAATATGAACAGAATGTCTCAAGGAAAGGTTGTGTTGATAGCTTGTGGAAGCTTTAGCCCTCCAACATACATGCATTTACGCATGTTCGGTAAGTTTTATTGTATGCGATTTGGAAGCATTAAAAGATGCTAAAATATGATTTTCAGCAATTATTTGATGTGACTTCTAATTGGTTTTCTTTTGAAAAATAAAATATTATTTTATTCAGTAGTTTAATTATAAATCAATCGATAAATGTATTTTTAAATGTCTAAAAGAATATCTGTAGGTACAAGAGTCTTGATAATTTTGATGTAACAAACTGTTATTAATATTTCAGAAATTGCAAGGGATTATTTCCACTCTACAGGGTTGGCTACTGTTGTTGGTGGCATTGTATCTCCAGTGCATGATGCATATGGCAAGAAAGACTTAGTAGCAGCACATCACAGGTTACAAAACATTGTTATTACAATTTTTTCAAATTTAGAATATAATGATATTTTCTTCTTGCTTCCCAACACAGACTTATCAGTTTATGATAGGTAATGTCTGAAAGCTTGTACTACAGTTTGGAATGATATTATGAGTTCTTGTTAATGATCTTTTATTAATAGTTCTGGCTCTTGCATCTGATACTCCTTTTAACAGCATCTTATGTGGATTTAGATTTGGTGTGTATTAGAAATAGGTTCCAATTTCCTTAGGATGGAAGGTCACATCAAAGCCCATCATCCTTAGCCATCCATAAGGAAGGCCTGAGCATCTGTAGTGGCATGAGCTTCTTTGAATATGGAATAGTTTGGATAAGTGTTTTATAGTAAATGATATTGTCTTTATTAATTGTAGTTTGCAACTATTAATATTTAGTAATAGGTTATGCTGCTACTTGCTACATCCTATATAAATCTAAATATAACTAAGATTTAGAATTCTATCACTGACATTGATATATTCTATTGAATCAATATTTGGAATAGAAAAAGTGAGTTAGTGTAACTTTAGTTTAGTTTTTTTTTCAGAATATCTATGTTGAATCTGGCATTACGTTCATCTTCATGGATTAAAGTCTCAGAATGGGAGACCCAGCAGTCCGGTTGGACAAGAACGAGAGTTTCTATGCAATACCATCAAGTGAGAGCTTATTTTCATATAAGTAATTTTGGGTTTCATTTAACTTGTAAACTACTTAAATAGTAAAATTCTTAGAACTTTATGATAAATAATTATCATAACTATTTTATGGAATGAAAATTATTTTTATATAGTTGAAAAATACTCAGCTCATAAAGTGTCATATATTGTATTAAGGAATAAAACTTATTAAAAATCAGCTCTTAATGAAATCTTTGTGCCACTTAGTACAAAAAATCACTAAACCCATGAATAAAAAATAGTTTAATATGCTTATTATAAGGATACCATCAACGGACACATGTCGGCTATTGAACCAGACCCACCTTCGTGGCTACCAGACGATGTCCTCAATGTGAATAGTATTGATGAACCAGACAACCTAATGGATAAACTTAATAATGGAGATACAGGAAGAGTGACTGTTAAGTTGCTGTGTGGAGCGGATCTCTTAGAGTCATTTGCCACTCCAGGGCTGTGGTCTGATGAAGATGTGAGTAATATTATCATAAGTCTTCACTACTGTTCTTAAGTTAATTGCATGCTTTATTAATAAATATGGGAATGCTAAATAAAAAGCAAAAGCAAGATTTTATATTGTGTTCATGGCAAAATTTAACTTTTTTTACTGGTATTAATTGTTGAAATACCACATAATAGTATGAAAATGAATGTATTAAACCACATTAAACGTTTTGTTTCCAGTTGGAAACCATTGTTGGCCGTCATGGGTTAGTGGTGGTAACACGGGCAGGAAGCGACCCTGGCAAATTTATTTATGAGTCTGACATGTTGTACAAATATAGAGTAAGTGGTATTTTATATGAAATTGATGTTTTAAGACTATATTGTTTTTTAAAGTAAGATAAACTTAAAAAACTGTAGGCATCTGTTTAAATAGAAGCAAGACTACTTTAAAGCTTTTAAGCTCATCAAAAGTTAGAACCTACGAAGGGTTCTAACTTCTATTCAAAAACCAAAGATCTATTCAATATAATGTAATGTATAAAAAATTGTAATTGAAGACATGTAATATAATATTTAATAGCAAGGGGGGGCTTGTAAATAATGAACAAGTTTACTTTCGGTTTGCCATTTATTTTAGAAACTTTTAAGGAATTTTAAAATTAAGGTTTAAATCCTTAATGTTTTGTGCTTACATAGCTGCATTATAATAACATCGTACTAAGCTGGCGTGCCCAAGATTGTGGTGTATCAAGTGAGTGTGGCGTGGCTCATGTGAAAAGATTTTGATTCAGGACATCAAAAATTGAAGCACAAAATATATATATAAAACGTCAACAGCTGAAATCACACCTTGAAGGTTCTGAAACTACTGGACCGATTTTAATAATCGGGTGACATAATCTACGCGGGTGAAATCCCGATATAACGGCTGGTTTGAAATAATTTTGCAGCTGAAGTATTTTTAAATGGAGGAAAACAAAAAAATACAGCCATGGCATTCAAACAGGTTCAAATGGACCCCAGGGGTCAAGACAGATTCGATGGGGGTCTTCAATAACCAGTAACATTTTTAAGTGATCCATGAGAAAATAAAGTTTGGACACCTCTGATACTGTAATCTCCGGTTTAGCAATTAACACGTAAATTATAAATTGAATGGGAAATGAATAAGTATTGTTTTATGTTCATTCCAGAATAATGTGACCCTAGTGAGCAATTACATAGTGAACGACGTAAGTTCTACAGTTCTGAGGCGGCTTGTGCGTCGCGGGGAAAGTGCTAAATATCTCACTGATGATGCGGTACTAGCATATATTAAACAACATAGACTATACGGAGCCACACCTAATATCACGTGAGTATATTTTATGAAATTTTAATATGTAGCCAGTGTAATAAGGTTATCGAACAGTGTTAAAATTCTTCAATTGATTTGGGATTTTATAATGGTGAAATTTAACTTATTAATATGTTGTGGAGTTTAGTTGATATGTGCTGACTCTTTATTGTTATTGAAACTTGGAAATGAAATTTTACTATTCGATAGTATGTACATACATTTATTCATGATAAGCTGATGACATTTTACTATGGTTGACTTTCAATTGTTGTTGTTAGATATAACACTATATCAAACTACGGTGGATAGTGTTATCCTTACTGCTTCAGTAATGGGAGATCCGTGTAGAATATTTTTGTCTAATTTTTACTTTTAGCTATATCAAAATGAGTTGCTTAGAAGTATATAATTTTTAATTTTAATTTCATGGAAATATTGTGTATGGCATTCCTAGTAAAAATATTTTTACATATATCTTCCATTAGCGAATGTTACAAAAATGCTAAATATTAACTCTTAGTTGATTACGCAGCGATAACAAAAACGATTAACCAGTGTTCTCTCTCTCACGCCTGCCTGGATACAGTGAGTATAACTTGCTTAATGATTTACTAGTCAGCTACAACAAACGGTCCCCACAAGACGTCATTATGACGTCTCCTGAGGAGACAAGTTTTAAAAACATCCTCATATCGATAAAAGACAGACCGTCTATAGTTGACGAAACCATTACCGTGAAAAGACCTAGGAAGACCAATTTCCTCATGCCTAACACTCATACCGATTCAGTCAGTCCATCGGTCGATCCGATCAAACCGAAAATTGCATATTTAGATAAAGTCCCCGCGAGTTACGTGCCCGGAAAAGCCGTAAAAATCGTCAGTGACGCTACCCAGCACGCCATTCAAGACGAGAAGGTAAGTCTCGCTGAATCAACTTATAGGTCTCTGGATAGTTACCTGTCTAAAGACGATGGTGACTTTGATATATACAAACGCAGAGTCAGCGAAAGTAACGTCGAACAGAATTTGAACATCGATAATGTGATAAAGAAACGATGTTCTTCCACCATTCGAAAACTTCGGCCCGATGAAATGAAAAAGAGCAAATCGGAAGTGAGTAAACTCTGCGATAAAGTAAAGAGTATCAAATTGAAAGATAGAGATTCGTCTAGGAATTACAAGACGAGGAGTTGTAACGATATCGTTAGGTTGATCTTGACTAAACATGGTATACATGTTATTAGCGATACCGAGGCGATTGTGTAATTCAGCGTTTCTCAAATATTTCTACCAGTTGATCCATTCGATGCGGCATACGGCGTTTTTGTGGTGAAACAACATGGGTGTTGAATTTTCACTTATTATATGAGCCATAATTAAATTAAAAGGTAACTTGCTTCTTTGTTTACGCAAACTTACGGGTTTTTAAACGATTTTGGCAGAAACGTTACGTAATATATATAAAACCAGCACGTGTTGTTTCTGATATAAATATTTTATATTAATCTGTGATTGTAATGCACTTCACAAGAAATATTTATCGAATTTATAGACACTACTTTTAGTGTGTTAACTATTAGCAAAAACATTTATCATATAAATATCTTGAGAAAGGTTGGTTTAACAATGGGAGTAATGTAGGTTAACAGTATTATTATTTATTGATAAATTACAAGGTAACATTTTGATACCTATCTTATATTTACGTAACATATGGGTAGAGTACTTAGTTTGGCTACACATATTTAGCACAAGTATGCATATGCTTGTGTAATATTTATATATTACCTCTGCTTATATTTAAGTTGCTATATAAATTACATATACATATATATACAGTGGTGACCATATAATTAAGAATGCTCTATGGAAAATAGTACATTTACTTAAAAAAAAAAAAATTCAAAATAATAATGGGATAAATAAAAGTTGCGACCAATCTACAAGATTATATTAAAACTGGAAAAAGAACTGGTCTTATAAAAAAATAGTTGATTATCTACAATATTCGGAAACCATGATCTTCAATGTTGTGAAACATTTTAAAACTTATAACAGTACTTTAAATATTCCATGAATGCCACGACCGAGAAAAACATATCTTAGAGACGACAGAAACATTATTCGTTTGGCGAAATTAAATCTTTTCAAAGGGTCTAACGAGATTTTGGCGAAGGAACCCCTCTGCGATTTCGGCACGCACTATTCGAAGGCGTTTAGTAGAAGAAAAGTTGTACGGCATAATAGTAAGATAGGCACCTTTTCTAAAACAGTGCCTAAGGCGAGCCCGGCTCGCCTTTGCAAAAAAAAATATGAAACCTGGACAGTTAAACAGTTTCAAATGTACGTTTTTTCTGACGAAACGAAAATAAATAGATCTGATGGAAGGCGATACGGACGTTGCCCTTCTAATAAGGCATTTGATCTTAAGTTTTGTAAGGTGACTTTAAAACATGGTGGTGGCAACCTGAAAATTTGGGGTTGCAACTCTGGTCATAGAATTGGGCCTATTAGGCTCATAGAAGGAAACATGGATAAAGTTTAATACCCTAATATATTTGAAGAAACAATGTTACCCTATGCTGAAGACGTTCTTCCAATTATTTGGAAATTTCAGTATGATAATGATCCAAAACATACAGCCCGCTCAGCAAAGGAATTTCATTCTCAATCCGTTTCCGTCTTAGACTCGCTAGCTAACAGCCCTGATTTGTTGTGAATCAAATCTTTGGTGTGAAGTTAATAATAAGGTAGCGAATAGACTTTGTGAGGGTGAAGGGAACTACGACGTTTTCTCGGAAGAATAAGATACTATTTGTTATGCAAAATGTCAAAAATTTATATAGTCAATGCCTCGTCGGTGTAAAGCAGTTGTTAAGAGTCGTGGACATGAAACCAAATATTAATATTAGTTTAATATATATTTAATTAATTTATTAATGTATTTTTTTATTTATTTTTATCTTATAAAAAGTATCGTTTCTAATTATTTGTTCAGCTTCATTATCATATACTCTAATACTGCCCACAATAAATATAGTTTTACAAAAAAAGTTACTAAATTTATATGTCTATCCTAGTTTAGTTTATCTTAACTAACTGGCTCTCTGAATACGTAATAATTGAAAAGTAATATTTTAAAAAATAGGGCAAGTTTTATTTAAAACATTCTACAAATCGTTCTTAATTATATGGCCACCACTGTATATCTACCAATTTGTCTTCCATTTAAAAGTTTGATGATAAATTATATGTTATAAATGAAGTTGCTGACATAAAGTTTTAGCTACGCACTTGTTTTTTGGGATAAGGGGCGGTCCATAAATTACGTCACACTAAATTCATGTTTTTTACCCCCCCCCCCCACCTGTCACATGTTTGTCTATAAAAATTCTATTAAATATTGTTCTAATGTCACAGTTCGTCGACCCCCCCCCCCTCCAACGTGTGACGTAATTTATGGATGGCCCCTAGTGACAACATTCAATACATTTTTATATATATTAGAAAATAATGTAATAAAAATACCTCGATATATTTATTTCAGAGTATTGAAATTTGTTTGTCTGTAATGGCTTTACTCCAGTATATATTTTGTCAATTAGTAAAGCGTTAACTTTAATTAAATAGCAAAATATAAAAAAAAAACTAAAAATTTGTTGTTATAGAGTTTAACTAGACAATTTTGAAATTCATGTTTCGTAAATAAGATTAAACTATCAAAAATTAAAAAGAAAAAAAGCTAAATAAAATTTTATAAAAATATTTAAAAAATCTTAGATTACCAGGGTTCGCAATAATTCGATATTTATAATAAATATCAAAATATCCTATATATATCATGCATATGAAAAGCTGCAATTTTTAAGCTGCTACCATCATATATGTATATGAAACCATCATTTCATATTTGTTTATTTATTATAAAGTAATCAAATGGAAGTATGCGTGTCAGGAAATCCAGTAAAGTATAGGGGAATACTCAACTTATTACCTACTTACTAAAATAGATCTTATTGCGTGAACATAAGCATTCAATTTTAAGAAAAAAAAAATAAACTAACCGTTTGAATTTCGCGTTAATGTTAATGGGAAAATCTAAAATTTCCAATAAGAAAGATTGCTACTTTCTAGCTGAGATTCAATATTCAAAATAACAATAAATATTTTAAATATCAACGTATATATCATGATATATATCTAGTTATATTTATCAGCGAACCCTGTAGATTATATTCGTTACTATTAGAATTAATATTATTTTCATTATAAAATATTATTACAGTCAGTCAATTAAAACTGCATTTGAATATACCGAAATATTTAAATCAGCAAAAAACATTTAGTAATAAACACGCTGAAACCGTTTAGAGTAGTTTTATTTAATTAGCTACTTAGGTATAATTAATTAATATGGTCCGGATTAAGGAATTCGAGTTGGTGACATTCGTGCAAATAGGAACTTGCAATTATTTTGTAGCCAAGCAAAATAAATCTGGCCACTTAATCGTCTACCTGTATTTTATAAAATCTGTACATCTGTCACACGACTTGACCGACTGGACTTTCTCTATAAATTTGAATAACGTTTTGATTGTGCCATATAGTTTACGCGATTGGCTGGCTGTACTTAATCTTATCGCTCAATGTATACTTCCTATAGAGTAATTTTAATTATATTTATACGAATAGTAAAATAAACTTATGTATACCGTAGATTAATTTGAAATTAGTGTAAAAAGTTGAAGTTTTAAAATGTATTTATTGCTAATGACTTATTATTATACCTGTTCTTATTAATATACTCAATATAATAACCTATAATGCCCTCTGTGATAGATTTTCGATCACTTTATATCCAAATATAATTATTGTCATTAATATGATGGCCAATTTTTTTGCTTTAAATTGACAATTAAATCTTTAGTGATTGTTGTCCCTTGTGGAATCGCGGTGTTAGAAATGTTACTTGATTTCTATCAGTATTATGTTTAATATTTATACCCATAAAATATAAAAATTCTAATTTTATATATTTATTAAATTAGATTATTACAATTAGAAGATATTGAGTAGGTAAGTATTTATTTTACATTATCTTAAAACAAACTAGCATATTTATTTTAATTTAGTATTATATAATAATGATTCGAGTGCATCCTTAAAATGTTTTGGTATAAATGTTTTTTGTTTATCCCTGGTTCTCGTGAGCTTCTCTGGAATACATACAAATAGTTTGATTTATATGGTTGTATATCCATATTCTTGCCTTCTGGTGGATAACACATCATATATGTATAATAACTCATTTAATAAAGTTTCTATTTTTATAAAGTTAATTTATTAAAATTGAATACTGTCATATTTTTTGTATTCTTGATGTTTTTTTTATTTATTTAGTTGATTATAAATGGTGCTAGACTTAGCTAGGTGTGTCTTAGTCAAGCTCGCGTATCAAAAATACCTTTATATTTTTTTTTCTCCACTAAATGACTTTGTAATTTGATTTTTGTAAATAACATTTACAAACAATTTGATTTCTGTAATATTTATTTGTAGTTGTAGTTGATTTAGAATAGTGTTTCCATAGCGATTTTCTGATAGCATATGTCATTAACATTGTAATGTTTTTTTTTGTCCATGCATTTGTCTGTCTGCCCTTTTTTATATTGTTACGAACAATTATTATATTTATCTAATAATTATAAATGAAAGCTATGAACTAGTTTGCCATCTACTAATCTATACTAAACAAATTATTGTTGTTAATGAAAAGACGGCGTTAAAATCTATAATAAAAGTAAATAAGTTGTTCACATAAAATAATAATTGCTCGTATCTTATATAAATTGAACATTTTATTGAAGAGTACTGTGAAGATAATTCATGTTCTTCTTTTGCTGTGGTAATTCAATAATATGTTCACTGTTTATGTACCTTAATACTAAAGTCAAAATGTTGTTTTATAAACATGACGTACTGTCGTTATAAAAGGACGTTTTGGCTTTACTCCTTGCCCTGCTAAAGCATTCTATGCCTTATTCATTCCTGCCGACCTATTCACAATACACGATGTGAAACGGTAATACGTGGGCTATTTTTTTATAGATCTTGCACGACAATTGTATATCTAATAAACTAATGCATTATCAATTTGCATCATGCATTGGTGGCCAGCGGGAATGCATATTGTGTAGAGGGTTTACCTTGTGTCGTTGTGTGCGTAGGGAGGCGGCTGCCCGCTGTAGCTGACGTGTTGCGCGCGC